TCACTTAATCTCATTGTGCCTCAGTTCCCCACCTGTAAAATACTTCCTGTCTCCCACCTGTTGACTATTGAAACAGTAAGCTCATTGGGGTGGAGACAGTTTCTTACTGTGTGTCTGTACAGCCCCTGGCGCAATGGGGCTCAGCTCTCAATTGGAGTTCTTGGCACTCTAACCACAAGAGTGGTAGTGTTCAAACACAATAAGATGTTGCATCGCAGACAAGCCCCAAGTAACTGTCTTCTTTGCCTGGGCCAAGGAAAGGGGGGAGGGTTCCTTTGCATCCCCATCTTTCTCCTGCACATGAGTTTGGTCTCAACCTAGTCTACAGAGTTCAAGTGACTGTGGCAGCAAGTCATTATCTTGCTTGCAAAAAGATTGCAAATAGATGACTGGATACATTCTGCTGGACATTTTAGTGCAAAATCAACACCCTTCTGGCCTATGTGTTCTCCATTTTTGAACTGATTAATATAAAAATCCTAATCTTTTTTTTTTTGCATCCGAGCCACGCGGTATAATCCAGACTTTTGGAAGGATAAGTCAATGTTTGTGAGCTCGCTTGGATTTAATGTAAACAATGAAGGGCTAATTCACTAAAATGGCTTAGATCCATTCGGATCTACTTTCATGAGCTGTGGTGCAGGGCTGGGAGCCCACGGGGTTAGAGCTGCAGATTTTGAATGCCTCAGTTTTTGAGTGCCCAGTTTAAGACACCTTATCAGGTCCTGGTTTTCAGAAAGTGCTGTATTCGCACTCTGTGATAATCCAGACTTCTAAAAATTTCTCAAGGTGGGCGTTTGAAAATCATTTGTCACTTTTTAAAGTCTTAGCCATTGTTAACTGGAGCTATGTCATGATTTCCTTTGAAGCCACTTTTCCGTCCTTTCCTTTCCCGCTGTCCACTCTTCCTCTCTTTGTTTATTCATTTACAAAGGAGGAGTTGGGTTTTTCAAACACAGAGGTGCTGCAGAGTGTGTTCATAGCTATGAAGGTACATGAATAAGCAGATATTTTAATTACCATAAACAAAGTTATAAGCACTTGACACCTGAACCTGCCTTTTTAAAATAAATTGTTTAGAGCCTGACCATTCCTGAACTAGGTTCATGGACTGTTGGGGAGGTGGTAACTTTTGCTAGTGGAGCCTGCTATATCAGGCTGACACGGTGGCTTTTAAAGAAGCTCTGTGTTTGTTTTCTTTAAGAAGTACTTGTGAAATGTTTGTTTCCTTAATCATATTGTAGTGTTAATTAGCTGGTTGGGTTACTCATCAGGAGGAATGGCTAATTTGGGCTTCTTTTGTTCCTCAGGCAGTAGGTGACATCTGGCTATTTGGTGCCAGAAACGGTGTATCCTTAAAAACATCCCAGTGCTTAAAACAATGAAATGACTAAAAGGTGGGGTTTTGGTATGTTTCCAAGGACCTGATCCAACTCCCACTGAAATGAATAGGAATCTTTCCCAGTGACTGTAATGGGAGTAGGATCAGACCCCATAAAAGGGTTTCTCTACCATAGAGAAACAACATTTGTGAAAACCCTCTCAGTAAGAATCCTCTTAGCAGGTTTATGATATGCACAAGTAGAACTGGCAGGCCCAGCTTCATGTCCAAGTTTTGCTGTGTGCAGCTGTAAAGGCACAAGGAAGGTGGGGCCAGTGCTGGGGCCGGTTCTATGCTATCTGAGAGGGAGAGCAAATAAATAACAATTTTGCTGATGCTCACAAATGTACAAAATCTGGAATTGTACAGAAGCTGCATCTGGAATTTAAGGCCTGGTCTACACTAATCCCCCAATTCGAACTAAGGTACGCAACTTCAGCTACGTGAATAACGTAGCTGAAGTCGATGTACCTTAGTTCGAACTTACCGCAGTCCAGACGCGGCAGGCAGGCTCCCCCGTCGACTCCGCGTACTCCTCGCGCCGAGCAGGATTACCGGAGTCGACGGGGAGCACTTCTGGGTTCGATTTATCGCGTCCAGACAAGACGCAATAAATCGAACCCAGAAGTTCGATTGCCTGCCGCCGAACCAGCGCGTAAGTATAGACAAGCCCTTAGTTTCAATGTTAAAAACAACAGCAACAAACCAATCAGTCAAATCCAAATAAGGCCAAATGCAAAAATTAAAAGTAGTTGGATGCCTGCATCATTCACCACACCCAGTATTTCAGATATTCCAACCTGGGACCTAATGAGCTACATGAATTATGAAGCAGCTATTTCTTAGGTCAGAAGCATTTCTGTGTTGGAGGCTATAGGGGAAGCGGGATGGATTTATGATTAACACACAAGAATACAAGCTTATAAGACCTGGGTTCTCTTCCAGTCTGACCTTGGGCAAATCAGAGAACTTCCCTATGCCTCAATTACCTTTCATCTTCCTCACATGGGAGTTGTGAGACCAAATTAATCAATGCATTTAAAATGCTTTGAGGATTTCCCCTGATAAGTGCAAAGTAAGCTCTCAAGTTGTCCCTGGTTCTTAGGTAGAACTCAGTCTCCGCCCAAAGTGTTATAGCAACA